GCAATTCAAAGCATTTTTGGTTTGGATCATAGTAGGCTATTTTAAAAAAAAATTATATCGAATTGATATCTATATTAGCATTCTTTATCATTTATAATACCTAGATGTGTTTAAAAATGCAATTAAAAGCATTTTTGGTTTTGATCATAGTAGGCTATTTTTAAAAAAATTATATCGAATTGATATCTATATAAGCATTCTTTATCATTTATAACACCCAGATGTGTTTAAAAATGCAATTAAAAGCATTTTCGGTTTTGATCATAGTAGGCTATTTTTAAAAAAATTATATCGATTTTAGATCTATATTAGCATTCTTTATCATTTATAATACCTAGATATGTTCAGGGGGAAAATAACTTGGTGTGAAACGTGTACGCCAAAAATTTCACAAAAATGACGTGAAATTTCACACCATTTCACGCCAATGGTGTGAAATTTCACGTCATTTCACGCCAATTTCACGCCAGTGGTGTGAAATTTCACGCCAATGTCGTGAAAATTTTAATCGAAAAAAAAATAATTAACAGTCTTTTTTTTTAATATTTTATAGTTGACATACTTTTAAATTTATTTAAAATTATTATAATGTTTTAATTTTTTTTTTAAGTAAACTAAGGAATCTTTGAGTAATTGAAGTTCCTGACAAATCACATTTGTTCAGCATCTTTGGAAGCTTTATCTAAAACAGGAGTGTTTTGTATTTTCCCGAAAAGCAAAATAACGAAAAACAATTTTTACGAATTTTCAAATTTACGAATGTTCATTTTTACGAAAATTTTTATGGTAAAAACCAGAGATCGAAGCCGATTTTTTCGGCTTAACTCAATTTTTGATTTTTTTGATAGAAAAAAGCCATTTAACACCCATTTTAAGTATTTAAATTGAACATTACATGCTTTACTATGATTCTGTGTAATATTTTGTCAGCATGTAGCTATAGTGAGCTCAGAATTTCAATTTAGCCGATTTTAAGCCGATCGGCTTAAATTTCGGCTTAACATTCTTTAACTTGAAATTCTGAGCTCACTATAGCTACATGCTGAAAAAATATTTCACAGAATCATAGTAAAGCATGTAAAGTTCAATTTAAATACTTGAAATGGGTGTTTAATGGCTTTTTCTATCAAAAAAATCAAAAATTGAGTTAAGCCGAAAAAATCGGCTTCGATCTCTGGTAAAAACGTATAGGATATAATTTGAATCTCAAAAAACCGTTGGATAAAATCAAATATTGAGACAGTTAAAAGTAATTTAATCATTTAAATGCGATTAGATATGATAAAATAATTATTAAAAGATGAATGATTAATAGAACTGAAAAAAAGATTTGCATTTATTTAAATGTGAAATATTTTTTCTATAAAAATTTTATTTTGCTATAAAATTTTCTCATGGAATTACCCATAAAACAAGAAAAAATATTACACATTTTAAATAAATGCAATTCTTTTTGTAGTTCTATTAATCCTTCATCTTATAATAATTATTATATCATATCTATTCGCATTTAAATGATGAAATTGATGTAAATTGTCTTTTAATGTTTGATTTAACCAACGGTTTTTTGAGATTCAAATTATATCGTATAAGTTTTTACCATAAAAATTTTCGTAAAAATGAACATTCGTAAATTTGTAATTCGTAATAACGGTTATTCGTTATTTTGCTTTTCGGGAAAATACAAAACACTCCTAAAACAGTCTTGCATTCTTCAATTGATGGATAGTATACAGGAACATCATTCGAAATCAAACTATCAGATTTGATCTTTTCGTTCTCAGGCAAAACAAAGTTTTCTCGCAAATCAAACGCAATATCATGAAGAATTTGAATTCTATTGATTTTCTCGAGAACTTCTAGAGAGCTAAAATCAATATTCATAAACACTAAACTCATTAGTCTTAAACTCTTACCCAATCTTTTGGAGTTCACATCTGAGTGTTAGAATTGTAAAAAATCAGCTTATTTTATCAAAATCGAATGATTTTTTTTAAAAAAAATTGTTTGTTTATGTTTAAAAACACGATTAAACAAAAACAATACTTACTTTTGAGCATTGTAATGCAGCTTAAATGTTTAAAGCTCACAATTGTGTGTAGCTAATGAGTTGTAGGTGATCTTTTAAATTACAGAATAACTTGTCAATGTAAACAAACCTGAGGAAAATTTTTAAATTTGACCGTTATGAAAAATGTTTTTCAAAAAACCATCAATTAAACTATTTTAATTTTAACTAACGAAGACAAGTTTTGTAGGATTTTAAAAAAAAATTATTACGAAGATTTAAAAAACCAACAGTATGTTGAAAATTCGAATTTTGAAGGATAAGGACTTGGTGGCACATGAAAATTATAACTAGTCATAAAAAAAGACAAGAAGACCATTAAACTGTCTATAAAACTATCTTAGGTTTACTTATTTAAATTAAAAAAGTTTATTTTCAAACCTTAATGGTTAATGGAATATTAAATGAAAGGCTTTCTGGTCCTAAAAACAATCACTAAATGTATTTTAATTTTTTTTTATATTGGCGTGAAAAATGTATGCTATTTCACGTCAGTGGTGTGAAATTTCACGCCATTTCACGCCAGTTTCACGCCAGTGGTGTGAAATTTCACTCCATTTCACGCCAGTGGTGTGAAATTTCACAACTCTGGTGTGAAATGGCGTACACGTTTCACACCAAGTTATTTTCCCCCTGGATATGTTTTAAAATGTAATTCAAAACATTTTTGGGTTTTGATCATAGTAGGCTATTTTCAAAAAAATTATATCGATTTTATGTCTTTATTAGCATTCTTTATCATTTATAATACCTAGATATGTTTTAAGATGCAATTTAAAGCATTTTTGGTTTCGATCATAGTAGTCTATTTTCACCAAAAAATATTGATTTTATATCTATATTAGCATTCTTTAAATTTTATAATACCCAGATATGTTTTAAAGTACATTTAAAACATTTTTGGGTTTTGATCATAGTAGGCTATTTTCACCAAAAAATATCGATTTTATATCTATATAAGCATTCTTTATCATTTATAATACCTAGATATGTTTTAAAATGCAATTCAAAGCATTTTTGGTTTGGAACATAGTAGGCTATTTTTAAAAAAAATTATATCGAATTGATATCTATATTAGCATTCTTTATCATTTACAATACCTAGATGTGTTTAAAAATGCAATTAAAAGCATTTTTGGTTTTGATCATAGTAGGCTATTTTTAAAAAAATTATATCGAATTGATATCTATATAAGCATTCTTTATCATTTATAATACCTAGATGTGTTTAAAAATGCAATTAAAAGCATTTTTGGTTTTGATCATAGTAGGCTATTTTTAAAAAAATTATGTCGATTTTACATCTATATTAGCATTCTTTATCATTTATAATACCTAGATATGTTTTAAAATGCAATTCAAAACATTTTTGGGTTTTAATCATAGTAGGCTATTTTCAAAAAAATTATATCGATTTTATGTCTTTATTAGCATTCTTTATCATTTATAATACCAAGATATGTTTTAAGATGCAATTTAAAGCATTTTTGGTTTCGATCATAGTAGGCTATTTTCACCAAAAAATATCGATTTTATATCTATATAAGCATTCTTTATCATTTATAATACCTAGATATGTTTTAAAATGCAATTCAAAGCATTTTTGGTTTGGATCATAGTAGGCTATTTTTAAAAAAATTATATCGATTTTATGTCTTTATTAGCATTCTTTATCATTTATAATACCTAGATGTGTTTAAAAATGCAATTTAAAGCATTTTTGGTTTGGATCATAGTAGGCTATTTTTAAAAAACATTATTTCGAATTGATATCTATATTAGCATTCTTTATCATTTATAATACCTAGATATGTTTTAAGATGCAATTTAAAGCATTTTTGGTTTCGATCATAGTAGGCTATTTTCACCAAAAAATATCGATTTTATATCTATATTAGCATTCTTTAAAATTTATAATACCCAGATATGTTTTAAAGTGCAATTCAAAACATTTTTGGGTTTTGATCATAGTAGGCTATTTTCACCAAAAAATATCGATTTTATATCTATATAAGCATTCTTTATCATTTATAATACCTAGATATGTTTTAAAATGCAATTCAAAGCATTTTTGGTTTGGATCATAGTAGGCTATTTTTAAAAAACATTATATCGAATTGATATCTATATTAGCATTCTTCATCATTTATAATACCTAGATGTGTTTAAAAATGCAATTTAAAGCATTTTTGGTTTGGGAACTTCGCGCGGAAGTTTTCTGTCTAATTGTTGACATTTTTCTTAATTGTTTATTTAAATATTCATTCAGAGTCTTAGATACTCTCAGTTAGTGAAAAGTGAATCAGAATGATCTAAAGATATCAAATTATATCGATTTGGGAACTAAAAAGCTATAAGAGCTTGTAATTTATCATAAAACATTTTAACCCAAAAAAAAAAATTTTAGTGTCTGTGTATTAGTGGAAAAATAAAAAATAAACAATTTAATATTTATGCTTTAACTATTGCAATTAATGGTGTATTAAGTCAATGAGTGATATATTCATGTGAAATTGATGTGATTAATTAACATAGTGCATGCTAAGTACTTTTTTTTTAAGTGAATATATAATTGGACATAAATATCACACATACATACGTAGTTGCTCAGTTGCTCAGTATTTGAATTTGCTAATTACGTTATAAATTAATTGATAAATTTGTCTCTATGGTTATTGGTAGATTTTATGTCATAATATACTTAAAGACTCAATAAATCCCATAACTAAATTTCGACAAGAATCCATATAGTTGTTTCCTTGTTTTTCTTCATATTCGGATATTTAAATACAAATTAAAAATCTTAAAATCCACATAATTTGGCTTCATCTTTCAGTCATTTTTATTTCAGAACATTGACAAACTGGGTTGTTTTTCTCTTCTGTTTTTCATCTGTTTGAGATATAGCTTGAGAAACTCAATTGGCAGATCAATGGAAAAACTGAATGAAAATGATCAGACTCCCAAATGGAGCATAGAAGCGAAAGCAGCTTTTACTGAGTTTAGGAAGCGTCGTAGAACACTTCCCTCTCCGCCATATATTAATCACGAGAAATCAATTCCTATTCCTAAGAAACAAAGAGGAAATATTTTTGGTAACTCGATTAACAATGCTAATGGTCGTAGTATAGCTAATGAGTTTAATGCAATTAATGATGAAGCAAATGTCGAAAATTCAACATTCTCTGAGCACTTTATGAGTGTGGATTTAGACTTGGACTCCGAGTTAGACAGAACTGAAGTTCTGTGTGACGATGCGGAAAAAAACATTGCACTAGTTCGTGAAATGATCAATAATAAAAACGATCCTTATGTTATTCTTGAGAAACTAACTGATGGTCTCTCAGAATATTATAAGAACTCACGTGAAGCGCTGCAAAAAATTAATAGTGATAATGCAACCAGAATTAATCGCTTGAATGGTCAAATAGTGTCTTTGGAAAATGACTTATACAAAAAGATTGATGAGGTACAAGAAAATAGTGATGAGAAAATTAAAGCAATTGAAATCTCGCAAAAATGTACAAAGGAAAGCAATACCTTGTGGATTAGTTTTGTTGATCCTGGTGAAGTGGAAAAACTAAGGTTAAAGAATAGACCTGATTTGATTCGTGAGACGAAGAATATCTTAAATCGAATGAATATCTGGACTAATAGCTCGAATAGAATGATTTTGGACGTTAATGTTCAAAAAGTTACAGTAAAGATTGATGGCGAATATAAAAATGAGCTTATTCTTGGCGCAAAATTTATGAACTCCTATATTGTTCGTGACTTGAAACGCCTTATAATGGAATATGTTAAGACACAATATTTGAACAAAAATTATGATTCTGTGCGATATACTGTGCGTGATAATTGGAGCCAGGAAATATGGAAAATCCTTCGTGTGTGTTATGATCTGGTTAATTTTAAGCTAATAGATAAAGCTCAAGTAACTGACACTGGTGTACTGGTGGCTTATGATAAAAGGAATGATAAGAATAATTCTCAGGCTAAAGATGACACTATAAGAGTTTTGGTAAGGAATGAAAAAGACCTTAATGCTTTGAGAGTCAATATTAATGATGTCGCATGCAATATATCAACATTCCAATTTTACGACAGCAATTATTTCAAGATGAACAATTGTGGCAGGAAGTCACATAAAGATAAATTTGCATCAAGCATGCCAATGAAGCAATTGAGTGCTGTTCATGAGGAACCAGTTAATCCAACATCCAGTAATACACCATCATGCTGACAATTAACAAAGCCCATTCGTCCTCCTGTAATTCCTAATGCTAACGAGAAAAGTGACAAAATTTCTATGTTCCTTCTCGATAAGAAGAAAGAATTTTTAGAATCTAATTGTAGCATTCTTAATACTTATAAAGTTCTCAAAGAATTCAAAGATAATGATTGCTTCTCTTTTCCTTTTCTTAATTTGCTAGCATGGAATGTGCATTGCCTTACAAATAAAAAGCTCAATATTATTAAACAGTATTTGGATGAATGGTCTAGAAACTCTACTCTTGGTAGTGTGAATAACATGTCTTCTGTTACAGTTACTGGCACTAAAAAAAATTATTTCATTGATTTAATATCACTTACAGAAACATGGTTGCGTAACGATATAAATAAGTTTAATACATTCGCTATAAAAAATTATAATAGTTTTACTGTTAATCGTAATGATAACAGGAAAGGCGGTGGAATTTTGCTATTTGTTCATAAAAATTATAAATCATGTATAGTTGACAGTAGCATTGATGTTCATGTTGAATGCCTTTTAGTCAAAGTTGTTGTTGGAAATGATGAATGGCATGTCCTTTCAATATATAGACCCCCCAGTGGTGATTTTGGTGTTTTTTTGTCGGTAATAGAACAACTGACACTTAAAGTTAACAATGATAAATTAATCATTACTGGGGATATGAATTTGAATCTTTTCAATGAAAACGATTTAGAATGCAAAAATTATCTGGAACTATTGGCATCTCTTAATTTATCTGTCATAAATAAAGCGATTACGAGACGTAATCCAATAGCTGGTTTTGGATCACTTATTGATCACTTAATAACGAGTACTTTCCAAAAAGAATTAATGATTATTACGTCAAAGTGCATTAATTTAATATCAGATCATAATTTTTTACTTTTGATGATTAAATTAGATACATCCACAACGGTTAAAAGTAAAATACGGAAAATTCAAAGAGTTAATAATGAATTAGTTAGAGACACTTTTTATAGTGATTTACTGTTGATTAATGTGGAAACAGAACATTTGAATAACTCTTCAATTGATGTCTATTTTAATACAATTCATAATTCACTAATGAAAGCAATTGATACTGGCACAAAAAATTTAAGCGTTAAATTACCAAAGATTCAATTAACGTTACCAAAATGGGCTGACGAAAATTATTGTGAGATGTTGAATTGCCTTTATAATCTTGAAGAAAAGATAATGAAAAGAAAATTGAATGGACTGGAAAGCGATGAACTGCAGGAAAAATTTGATGACATTGATAGGATAAGAGATGAATATGCAACTGTCAAGTCTAGAATATATTATCGCAAAGCTGAAATAGATAACTTAAACAGTGCATGGACATACATAAATGAAATGACTGGTCGCACTAAAAGAGAATCATCAAATGCAGTTATCAAGGACTCAAATGGTAATTTTCTTATCGATTCATCTGAAATTGCTAACTCTTTTCAGAAAAAGTTCCTGGAAATATTTAGAGCTAATGAAAAGACATGCAGCATCCAAAATCATGTTTATATTGGTCAAGCAGTTATGAATACTTTTGTTTTTGAGGAAATCACACCTGAGTCTATATTTCTAGATATTGGAGCTTTAAACCGTCGAAAAGGACCTGGATATGACAAAATAACTGTTGGAGTCTTGCAAAGTTGCGCTGAAGGATTAAGTCCTCATCTTGCCAATTTATTTAATAAAATGATTAGGACTGGAGAGTATCCAAAACGTTTAAAAATGGCGATTGTCAAGCCGATCCCCAAGAACAGCATTGTACTCGAAATAGATAATTGCAGACCCATCAGCTTACTACCACAAATTGATAAATTATTTGAATCTACAATGTGTAGTCAATTGAGCAAATTTTTTGAGACAAATAATATAATGGATAAACTGCAATATGGCTTTAGATCTGGAAAAGGCTGTAATGACGCTCTTTGTATGATTCTACATCAAATCAGCACAATAGTTGATTCTGGAAAGGCTGTGTTATTACTATCCTTTGACATACAAAAAGCGTTTGACTCGGTGTGTCACAAAGTTCTCTTAAGAAAATTAAACTTCATGGGTATACGTGGTCCAGCATATGATTTAATTAAAAGTTTCGTATCGAACAGAGAACAAGTAGTTAAATTTGGTGATTCCATGAGCCATATTGGTGTTTATAATGTAGGCGTTGCTCAAGGCAGCTGCTTTGGTCCTCCGCTTTTTAATCTACTAATCAACGACCTATCTTCTCTTGACACTTATTCAACGTTTTATAGATATGCTGATGATTTGATGGCAGTCTTTCCAATTGATGTCAATCAGCCTGATGCGGATAGTGAATACTTGAAGAATGACTTAAAAAGTATTACTGATTATTATGAAATGAATCATTTGAAAATTAATTGTGATAAATCTAAATATTTATTAATTGGCACGGATACATCATATTTGAGTGAAATACTCGAGAGATATTCTATCCAAAAAGTTGATGAGTTAAAGTATCTTGGTTTCCTTATTGACCCAGAACTAAAATTAATAGGACAGATAGATAAAATCTGTAAATCTGTTGCTCAAGGAATTAATGCATTAAGATTTTTAAGAACTAATTTATCGACTCATGCGTTACTGAATTTTTTTCATGCGCATATTCAATCTCAAATAAGTTACTGCGCGTTTGCTCTATTGAGGTGTAGGACAATGGATATCGAGAGACTTCAAAGACTGCAATCTAAAGCCTTAAGAGTAATTTTCAATCTTTCAGACTCGCATTCATCTTTTGAACTCTTTACAAATGAAGCTAAAGAAATTATGTGTGTTTGTGGCCTAATTTACTACTCAGCCTTGATGATGGTGAAAAAGTCGCTGTTTTGTACTGATGATTCACTTCCAATTATTCGAAAGCTTAGGAGCACGAGACAATTTAATCTGGCTCTAAGTTCTGGCAACAATAAAAAGATTAAAGTCAATGATATTACCCACATTGGCTGTCGACTATTTAATGAGCTTCCTAATGACATCAAGAAAGAAAACAACATAAGTTTATTTAAGAATCAGCTAAATAAGTTCATCACAGAAAGGAACAAGTCTCTCATCAAGCATGGTCAATTTACAAGCAGAACGTTTAATCTTTAACGTTAATTTTTATTTTTGAATTTTTTTGTGTAGCTCAGTATTTAGACTGCTACGTAGTATTTATCTACAAAATTATTAATAATTTAAATTCTTTTCTTCTTTTTCTTCTTTTCCTTTTATTATAAAACATCAAAGGTCGTCTAACTGGTTGTTGGTTAATTAGTCTTTTCGCACGCAATGAGCCTACAAGAGCAGGAAGAGGATATTTTGCAAATTGACATAAATTGCGATGATTTAATCCTCGAAGAAGAATTAACTGAACCATCAGAACCTAGTGAATTTATGGAATCTCCCCAGTCTAATGAATTTGGATGTAGTAACTCAAGCGTTTTGCTAAAAATAATAAGAAAAGGCAAATTGCCAGTCGATAAGTATCGTGAGAAAATCTTGAAGTATTATAATGATTCTGTAAAATTGAATGTGACTGGATTCTTTTTTAATGATTCTTCCAGCGCTTTGGTCGAGGTTCAGATCGATAACTCTCTTAAGAGTTACTTGATCCGAATCTACGAGGATCGTCTGGGGAGAAAATTATTGAATCAGAAATCAGTGGACAATATTATTAATATTTGTGACGGGAAATTTCCCTTATTGATAGAAAACTCGCTCTTATTTCTAGTGATAATTCCAAATGTAAAGTTTGTTAATCTCTCCTGTAAGAGCTCTCATGCTCTGTATGGTTTCCATAACGGCAACATATATAATCTTTTGCTAGGTAAATTTAAGATCAGTGATCGAATCACTATGCATGAAATATATACTGCCTTGCAAAATATTTTTTCAAGTAAATTTAATGTTATTTTTGGACTGAAATTTCAGTCTTGTGCTGATTCTAGCTCATATTGCGCAAGAATAATAATTAATAATGATGGCTTCTCAGGAAGAATTTTGAGCGATTTGAATAAAACGTTTGGTATGCCTAGATTTTCCTCTGAAACAGTGCATGCGTTCTTGGTGAAGGATGCGACTGAAATTCAAAATAAGTTCTCATCATCTTCTGCATCCGAAAGTGTGACTTTACTGAGTAAAATTGATCTGATCTCAGCTGAACTGAATGATTTTTCAAAAGCCAAAAGAATTAAAATAAGCAAAAAGGTATCACCAGATGAAGCTACAAGCAAAAATGCTGCTCATAGCTCTGGAGCAACTTCTATTTTTTCTAGACTTGGTGGAAAAATATCTGAATTTGAGCCCACTCTGGATTAGATATTAAGTTTTTGTGAATTAGTATAAAATGAATTAATGTGATTTAATTATGAAAATGAAATTATTTGGATTACAACCGAAATGGTTTAAAAAATAAAATGAAAATGAAAAAAATTCTTTAAAATTTATAATACCCAGATATGTTTTAAAGTGCAATTCAAAACATTTTTGGGTTTTGATCATAGTAGGCTATTTTCACCAAAAAATATCGATTTTATATCTATATAAGCATTCTTTATCATTTATAATACCTAGATATGTTTTAAAATGCAATTCAAAGCATTTTTGGTTTGGATCATAGTAGGCTATTTTTAAAAAACATTATATCGAATTGATATCTATATTAGCATTCTTCATCATTTATAATACCTAGATGTGTTTAAAAATGCAATTTAAAGCATTTTTGGTTTGGATCATAGTAGGCTATTTTTAAAAAACATTATATCGAATTGATATCTATATTAGCATTCTTCATCATTTATAATACCTAGATGTGTTTAAAAATGCAATTAAAAGCATTTTTGGTTTTGATCATAGTAGGCTATTTTTAAAAAAATTATATCGATTTTATGTCTTTATTAGCATTCTTTATCATTTATAATACCTAGATGTGTTTAAAAATGCAATTTAAAGCATTTTTGGTTTGGATCATAGTAGGCTATTTTTAA